AGCGATGGCCAGGTTCCTACGGGGAGGTGTTCACATGGAAAGGTAAAGGTGTAGCTCTTGCACCCCTCTGTCTGCAAAACCGGCACCAGATTGCGATGAGATAGCCCAGGCCACCCGGACTAGGATGGTCTGATAGAGGTGCGCCAGCCACCTTGGCCAAGTCAGAGCTGCATGCATGTGTAGTACGAGTATCCATCTGTCTGCACTTTTGCAGTTGTTAAACGTTTAAACTACCAGCAGTTCTCGCACCACCATTCCTCTGATTCTGCCTGTAAACAACTTGCCATATTGCCGAGAAACATTGCACTGTGCACATCAAATGTTGCAACCAATCCAACCGAACATCAGTAGCCCTCCCTAGGTCCCAACCCCAGTAGCCCTCCCTAGGTCCCAACCCCCAAGCATCACTGCATTGATTCGGGTTGCTAACTTTGTTTATGGACTCTCAAACACGCACACTTGGTGCAGGGCCTCCTTGTCAGCACGATGGCAGGTGACCTCAGGATCCAAGACAAGGCACCAATGGCCCCTTCAAGCGCAGTGGGGCTCTGTTCGACTGTGTAGTGGGCTGTGGAGTCATGCGGTTTCGTGCGGTTTCGTAGCAACAACACGGCGGGTATCAGTTGCTTCAGTGACTTCCCATTGATTCTGGGGCGTTGTTCGGATCGGGTTTGTTGGATCGGAATCTATTTGGTCAGGTCGGAATCGTAGGATCGGAATCTATTTGGTCAGATCGGAACCGTACACTCGACGGGCGCGCGCGCAACACCACCCCGACCATCCCGACCAAGGATCCTAAAACGTTGACGCTGAACCCGAACTTACGCTGGTTCGGCGAAGTCGCGACTGTTGTTGCTAGCTAATTGTACACCGGCTATCCCGACCATCCCGACCATCCCGACCAAGGATCCTACATCGTTGACGCTGATCCCGAACTTACGCTGGTTCGGCGAAGTCGAGGAAAACCATTCCGACTGTTGTTACTAACTGGTTGCGCACCGGCTATCCCGACCACCCCGACCATCCCAACCATCCCGACCATCCTGACCGTCCGCTAGAATCTGATCCTACGACGCTGATCCGGCCGATTGGAATCTGATCCCAGACGCTGATCCCTCACGCTGATCCGGCAATCCGGCAGTCCCTTCGGACCGCTGTTGTGGGCAGAAATAGATTGCGTCGTTTGCCCGGCCGGAAACGCTGCGCAAACGTTAGGCAGGACAGGGGATCATCTGCGCACACAGATCAGGATCATCTGTGCACACAGCCAAGATCATCTGCGCACACAGATCTGGATCATCTGCACACACAAATCTGGATCATCTGCACACACAGGGCACATCGGGTGGGGTGGGGTGGGGTGGGGTGGGGTTGGACACCAAGCCTAGAAGGCCTTGGCCTGCACCATTTTTCTGTAGGGCTTCGAACGCGACGTTAGGCAGTGGGCACACCCCCCGTTCCGACCGCTGCAATAGATGGTGTCGTTTGCCCGGCCGGAAACCCTGCGCAAACGTTAGGCACTGGCGAGCGACACCAGCCTAGAAGGCCTTGGCCTGCACCTCTTTTCTTTAGGGCTTTGAAAGCAACGTTAGGCAGTGGGCACCCAGCCGTTCCGACCGCTGTTGTGGGCAGAAGTGGAGGCCTTGGCCTGCACCTCTTTTCTTTAGGGCTTCGAAAGCGACGTTAGGCAGTGGGCACACCCCCCTTCCGACCGCTGTTGTGGGCAGAAATAGATGGTGTCGTTTGCCCGGCTGGAAACGCTGCACAGACGTTAGGCACTGGCCACACCAGCCTAGAAGGCCTTGGCCTGCACCTCTTTTCTTTAGAGTTTCGAAAGCGACGCAGGGGTGTTGTTCGGATCGGATTTGTTGGATCGGAATCTATTTGGTCAGGTCGGAATCGTAGGATCGGCGGATCAGAATCTATTTGGAACCCAAAAGCAGCTGGTCCCTGATCGCACAAAGTCATGTACCAATGAGCTTCTGGTTGTCTGTCTCTGAGGCGCCGCATACACCAGCTAATGCTGCAAGAAACTACGGTGGTACCATTTAACAGTTCACAGACAACTGCACTCTGTTCACACAGACTTAGTCGTTGTTCAACATGTTGACTCACGTGAACACATGGGCATCTGCCCACCAATAGAATGTCTTGGGGCATCCAGAAGGCCACATTGTATGAACTCTTCGAACTCTGAACACTCTATGACACAGCGCATCTTGAGTACTAGTGACTAGTGAAAACAAAAGAACAAAAATTGAAATTGAAATATTCAAAACTCAATCGCAGCATGTTTGCAAAACCAGCTGAATTCTATGGCATCGACCGTAGCGCCGTCATCCAATACTTCACCAACTATGGCACCCTGGGAAGCATGGCATATGCAAACTGAGAACAGGTTCAAGGCACAAAGCTTTCTGTAGGAGGATTCAAACCTGTCAATAGTAGTCAATGTCAAAACTGATGACGAGCCCCCCAGAGTCTTGGTACATGAGAGAAAAAGTCTCCGTCAGGATATGAATACAGGTCCACGGTCCACGGCGTTCAAAATGTACTTCCTGACCTCTTGATTCTCAGTGAGAGACTATGTATGTATTTATATATATATATATAAATATACAGAGTTTATGTTGCACATAGTTGATTGTTTAAATACTTCAGTGTCAATCCAAGTGTTCAACCACCAGTCATCATGTCTGGGTCTTCCACATCTGTGAGGAAGAACCCATCCGCCTCAGATGCACTGCCAAATAACAAAAGTGTGAAACAATGGTGTAGAAACCTGCCCAACTCTTCCCGTTCCAGCCGTTCTAACCCGGTCGTGACAACCATCCAAGCTAGAAGGGCAAATATGCCCATCTCTTTAAAAGAGTCGAGTCTACTCATGCAATGGAAAAATGAAACGAATGTAGGTGGAACTTGGTATTTGTGCTTGCGTGTTCCCTACAAAGAATCAACTATCTAGCAACCGCTGTCCTGATACTCCTTGCGAATAAACTCTGCACGAATATGGAGTGCGTGTGGCATCAGCAACCCACTAAACAGCCTCCATGCATCTGCTTTGGCAATCAGATGGGCCCGCTTGCAATGACAAGAACAATCCGCATGCCCGTGCAAGTCCTTCAGAAGAGAAATAGCTCAATAGCTCACATCTCAAATCTCCTCCAAAGACATCCCAATCCCAAAAGACAAATGCAGGTAGATTGGTGAATTGAAGGTGCAATTTGAGAGGTTCACAATGAAGACGAACTTCTTCCGAAATCCAATGCCTGACATGTCCCAGGGGCACTCGCCATACGGAAAAAGCAGAGCGGCAACCTGGCCAGGATGAAAGGAATGTGTAAAGAAGACCGACTCTCTTTGTGCTTCACTCCCGACTCTCACTCCATTCTGCTGCACCGCAGCTCGCTCCAGACCTGCTGGGAAACACCGAGCGAAAATCCGAGGCGATGCGTTGCCGCAGCGATGCCTCGGACCGTGGCTTCGGAAGCGTCGCGGCGTCAGCTCTCCAACCGTCCCCAAACCACACGACTCAGTCAGTCGAATGGCTACAACCGTCGTGACTGGTGACTTGTTCCTTTTCCAGAGTTCAAAGTTAGAGACTTTGGTGAAACTGCAGTGCCAAGGTCTTTTTTGGTGTAGCGGCCAGGTTTCTCTGTATTGAGCTTTGCAGCAATATGCTTAAGAAATGTGCAACAGTTCGGACAGTGCACAAACATGATGTGAAGGCAGCTTGGGTAGTGCTGCATCAGGCACTAAGGAACCGAAGTAGAGGTGAATTGACTAAAGAAGGCGTCAGGCAGAAGGCGTCAGGCGGGTTGCATGTTTAAAATGGGAGTGATCCCAGAAAATGACGCCTGGGAATTCTATGAATGCTCAAGACCAATTATTCACCTAGGAATTCTATGGATCACCAAAGAGCTCTGGTGCTGGCCAAAGGGCCACGGTACTCGTCGGCTCAACCAGCACCACAAAGCGCACCTGTCACGAAGGACTGGGCGAAGACTGCACAGGGGCAGTCTTCACATTCCATGGGCCGATCAGATCTCCCTTAACTAGCGATGTCCATGGCACATCCCGACCCTCCCTCCTGACTTTCCAGGACAGGCTTCTGATTTGTCGTGTCCTCCGACAAAAACAGAAGTCATCCAATATGCCGCTCGCAAGGTTCATGTTCAGATCCCTTTTCTCTTTGGCTGCCATCAACAGTCAAGGGACAAACAGTTCTTCGCAGTTCAAGTATTGTATTGTTTGCAGCCCATCTGCCCTGCTGTCAGGGCGTGCCTCCTGCTCAGTGGCAAAAGAGGTGAAGAGCTTCATGGCATGAAACACAAACAAAGGTCTCTCATGCACATGGCGCGCGGAATGCGTCAGGAGATGGTCAGCATTGGCCGCTTCATACGGGGTGGTTGGTCGGCTTTGGCCGCTGTGGGCGGGGTCGCTCGGAGAGCAAAGACTGTTCGTTTCTCGATCGCATAGCGGCCAGCTATCCGACCCATGCAACAAGCTAAACAATTGAAAACAGTGAAACTAGGCATTTCGGGTGCTAGAATTTCATTCATTTGGTGGTGCTTTGGTTGGTGGAGTGATCTTGTCTAGTGAACTTGCTTGTGTCAGTCAGGAAGACTTCAGAAAAGGGCACATTGTCACATTGACATCAGTGGAACTACTCCTTGCGCAGGTCACAGCTCTATCTGTTTTCAGTCTGACTGTGCTTGCTTGATCCACAAATGGGCTTCGCTGAGCAGCAGTGGAAAAGGCCCTTTTGAAACTACCGCCTTGCTCCGTACAATGGAGTTGCGTTGTTCTGATCACTTTCACCTACAGCTTACAGTCTGGGGGCCAAACATCATGCGCTGAAATCAGGAGACTCCATATATAATACTTGGATTCCTCTTTCAAGTCTGCCTTTCACCAGGTCAAGGTCCTAATCGCGGATGAGATGATCCAACGAACATTGGAGATGCTCCATGCCAAGACAGTTGAGGTCCTCTTGCTTCCCATGATGGCCTTTTCTGCGGCTCTTCACAGAATCAGAGTATGCTTGCGGACCTGATCGCCCGTGCATGTCCACGGCTCACACCTGCGCTAGCAATTCAAGTCACTTGTGACCAAAGCATCAGGGGGGCCCCACATGCAAAAGAAAGGAAAGGTATTTTTAACATCTAAAGCGCAAAGGCTATGTACCTGCCAGAACTCTCATGGTGCACAGGTTTGCACCTAAACCGGCCAAGCTTTGCAAGATCAAGTAAGGAACTTGGGTACGACGAGGACGGTGGCTCCCAAAAACTTCAAAGCCCTCTTACTTGCTCTTCCTCACAAAGCTCGAACTTGTCCCTCCTGGCCTAGCTGCGATCCGTGGTCCTTCAACGCTCAACCTTAAGGAAGAAGCAGTGCTCTGTGAGTCCTCTCTTGACAGCTTGAATGAGGGATCTCTTTGTGTGAACTGCAAACTCGACTTGATTCATCCAAGATACTGGTGACCCCGCAGCCTTTCAGCTCGTAGGGCATTCCATCGGCTGGGCATGGAACAACTGTGCCACTGCCGTCGCCCGTCTTGCAGGCAACGGAAATGCTAAAGCTGGGTCGTTCCAACGAGTGGACGGTTATGTCATAGGCTGCCTGACAGAGAAGTTGTGATGGCCACAGGTGTGAGGAAGGGAAGGCTAGCACCATTTTTGGTGGTGTGCTTGAAAGGGCCAGAAGGATGGGACTAGAAGCTTCGACATTGGCCTCGAAATGACGAGAAGGGCTTGGGGTGTTTAAGTTTCTCAGATACCCAGCCTAGGCAGACCCAATGAAACAAACGAACAAGAAAAGCTCCAAGTCAATAAGTCGCTCCACAAGAGCAACTCGAAACGGCTCGAAACGATTGCTCCACCTTCTCGGCCACGCTAGGCTCGCTGCATGACTCTGGGGTGCAGCCACTGATGCTGTAGGCCTCGCCGCTCTTGGCACACTTCTGCACCTCCGCCATGCCTGCCACGGTTCCACCAAGGAATGGTTCAAACAACGCTTGGCACATGGCACACGGCCATACTGGGACCCGTGTGGGTTGGGATGTAAGAATCTATATAGTATTCTAGTCAAGCTTCAATGGTGTCCACAGGGTCCAGCCCGGCCTTTGTACCCTTCAGCACACTTGGCCGAGACATTGAAGCTGTCCAAGGCTTTCGAGGCCTCATACCTGAGGAAACTGCCGCTGGAACATAGTGCACGGTTCCTATGGAAATGGGTCTTTACATGGTTTTTTGACGGCTGGAAAAGGGCCATGTTCAACACATGTCCTCCTACAGTATTGCATAGGAGTCTAGACATCTGAAAGAATATCTTCGCTCGCCTCACTCACTCAAGTACGCTCTCATGCTGCTAAGCTGCACCACATAGCCATCTTCTGCTTCCGCCCTAGGAGATGCACACACTCCCAGACTGCAGCCTTCCAAGGTGTAGGTAGCACCATCGCTTTTGCATGGCACAGCCTTCCCTTGGCCGCCAAATTTGCACTTCGCTGCCACACTGAAGCTGGGCTTCTCCAGGGAATAGATGGTGAGATCATAGGCCTCCTATCGATCTGGTGGGTCCGGCGAGTCCGGTGCTCACATCACCGCTTAAGCTTGCGAAAAAATCCGTCTTGCTGAAAAAGATTGACTTTGCTTCAGATCTCCCTTCTTTCCATGTCTTGTGTCCTTTTGCCTCTTTCACTGTTGAATACAGTATGTCCTTTTTTCACTTTCCCTTCCCCTCCCTTCCCTAGCCTTGCCTTGCCTGTCCTGTCCCGTCCTGTCCTTTCCTTTCCATTCCATTCCTTTCCTTTCAGATCTGCTTGATGCTTCCAAACAAGTTCCGAATCTCTTCTTTTCAACTGCACAGCGGGGGTCCTGCTCGGCGTCGCTGGGTTCGGAGCACTTTTCCGGTTTGCAGCCGCTCAGGGTGTAGGGTTGTGCATTCCCATGGCACTCCTGACAAACGCCATCTCTACCAAGCGGGATTGGAGCCCACTCTAGCATGCTCAGCCTCCGACTGGCTCTCAATGATTGATCTATTAAGAACACAATAGATTACACCACCGTAGAACCCACACAGTTTGTGTTTTTCAAAATCGAAACTAGAGCCTGCGACGTCCAGAGCTGGGAGACAAAGGATTGCAAGGCAGAGGATCAATCAGCGGGGAGCTGACCACGTGAGGACAAGAAATAAAAGCATGAGGAGCGAAGGATGTGACATGAAATTGATTTTTGGTGCCTGACGTATGCCCTCCGTCCCAACTGAACAGAGAGATCGCTGCCACGCCGCCGAAATCCAATCCGGCATTCATCCAACGCTTGCCCGAAAAGGAAAACAAAGCTGAGAGAGTTACACAATTTGGCAGGAATGCAATCCCGGAGACAGTCACGCACCCCTTTCAAAGGAGCAAGAACCTTTCACAGGTGAACCTGTTCCAGCGGACAGGGCAGAAAACAGCAGTGCAGGCACCAAACCTGAAAGACAGAAGTGCTGCATGGCCAGCGGAAAAGGCCGGCAGCACCAGTGACAGACCCGGGAAACAAATAAATAGAAATGCTGCATGGCCCGGAAAAGGGCGCACACCAGCATTGACAGACCTGGGAGACTAATGAATAGAAATGCCGCATGGCCAACGGAAAAGGGCGGACACCAGCAGAGACAGACCTGGGAGACAAA